GTCTCTCGCCCTGACTATTCCACCAGGACTCCTGTTGTGGGAGGAAATCACTGCACGAGCCGCCTGCTGCCGCTGGAACCGTTCCCGTCGCCACCTCGGCCTGTGTCTGCTTCCCCCTCGGTGGCGGCATCCTTTATCTTGGACGTGAACATGCCCTCCTCCTGGGCCTGCGGCCTCCCCGCGTCTCACACGGGGGAGCAGGGGAGGGAGGGAGGCAGGCGGTGGAGGAGGGTCAGCAGGGAGGTGCCTGGGGCGGCTCTTCTCCAGGTGGGGGGCCCCAGGGCAGGGGGGTTTGCTGAGGGACCCCCCTCGGGCGCAGCGGTTGGTGTCTGCCAGCTCCACCGTCCGCTCAGCCTCCCGCCTCCCCTGGGCATGACAGCAGAAGTGTCCTTGCTCCTACGTAAGGCCAACCCTTCTGTCCCCCATTACTTACAGAGGCCCCTGCCTTCTTGTCCTCCTGAGAACTTCATTTGTGTAACTAGCCCTCCTCTCACTTGCCGGGGCGTCCGCTCAGCCTCCCGCCTCCCCTGGGCACGCTCTCCTCGCCCGTGGGATCCCTCACCGCCTGCTCTTTCTAGAAAGCTCGCTGACCGTCACATGGACAGGGCAGCTCCGGGCAGGAGGGGTTCGTGGAAGAGAAGGGAGGGGATCAGAGGCAATGGCACACAGCCAGCTCTCCGTAAAGGACACGCTCTCTGCGGCCTTCTTTACACTCACGGGGCCGGCTGACAGCGTTCCGCTCTGCCCGCCAGCCCTCGCCACCCCTCACCCCTCACAGGAGTCCACATTGTGTTGGGTCTATCCAATAAAGAAAAAAAAATATATATATATATATATATACACTGTATATATACGTATACAGTGTGTGTGTATGTATAAATATGTATATATGTATTGATTTCAGAGAGGAAGAGATAGAAACATCAATGATGAGAGAGAATCATTGATTGGCTGCCTCCTGCACGCCCCACACTGGGGGTGGAGCTCATAACCCAGGCGGCATGAACCCTGACCGGGAATCGCACGGTGACCTCCCGGTTCAGAGGCCGATGCTCAACCACTGAGCCACACCGAGGACAAGGGAGTGACCCCATCTGCCACCCGCTGCCCACAACTCTGAGTCCAGGCAGGGCCGACCACGCCAGTCCTCGCCACGCCCAGCTCCGCCGGGAAGCGAGAAACCCCAGGGGCCGCGTGAAGACTCTTGCCAGTTCCCTACCACGACCGAAGGAACACGCAGTCTCCTCGCAGACACGGGGCTGCCCGCGCCTCTGCCAGCCTCGCCTCACATCTGATTAAATAAGCCGCGTGCGAAACACGGGAGGAATTAAGTTCTCTCTTGACTGAGCCGGCTGCTCACGTCTGTCACTAATCCAATTCCGTTCCGAGGAGACAAACTGCTCTCTGTCTCCGCTGCAGAGCGGGCGGCCTGGTGGTACCTTCCGGGCCTCGGACCCACCTGCCGGCGGGGCCCTTTCTTCCTGTCTGAGATCGACAGTCACCGCTCCTCCCGCTCAGCTCTCCACCCACGGCCAGCGGTCGGTGGTGGCCCCCTCGGCTGTGAAAGGGCTGGAGGGGGAGCCGCCCGGCAGACCTGGGCCTCCTCACACTCACCCACACGGGCACATCCACTGAACCTAAGCCCGTTCACCTTCGGGGGACACATCCGTCTCCTTAAAAAGGAGGAGGCCAGGCCCTGGCCGGTGTGGCTCAGAGGATGGAGCGTTGGGCCTGCGGGTGGAAGGGTCCCGGGTTCGATTCTGATCGAGGGCACGTACCTGGGTTGCAGGTTCCCCCGGCCCCAGTCAGGGTGCGTGCAGGAGGCGACCGATCAATGTGTCTCTATCACATCGCT